AATGAGTCCTTGGTTGATAAGCATTGCATGTCTATATCTGTTTTCATGAGAAACCACTTTGAAGATATCAATATGTAATACAACAAGCATTGTTAATTCCCTACCACTTTGTTTGTAACTCCGTACTGTCTGTACTGTTCCTTCACTATTCTGTAAAATGTTGTCTGTCTGTTAATATTTTCTTCCTTTTATTTTTAAAATAAAATAAAAAATAAAAAAAATAAAAAAAAGAAAGGAGCTAGTGACTTGCTACTGGCTGGGAGAAGGGAACATGAGTTAGGAGGGGATTTGAGAAGGACGCACAGGTTGCTGATTTGAATAAATGAAGATATGTGTTTTTCTGGCCTACCACAGGGTCCACAGAAAGAAGAGTCAAGGTCCAAGCCTCCTATGGTTTGTTCACAAGCTTAGTCACAAACATTGTACGGTCCTAGGTGTTTGTGGGCTACCTGTGGGCACAGGCACTGAGGTGAGAATTTATAGGTTTGCTCTTAGAAGAGAATTTGGTGTGGGACTCATGCACATGTACAGCAGTGACTGTCAACTATTCCTTTATCCCTGTACACTTGAGTGTAACAGTGAGCTCCCACTGGTAACCACAAGTCACTACAAGGGTGTGCTGAATGGGGGTGACTTCCTCCATATATATATATTGTGAGGTTGAGAGGGATGGAATCACACCATGGGATTAAGGTATTACTAACCTCCACCAACATTTACTGCATATTTCCTATGCCCATTCTGTGAGCAACCTTTGAGGCAGGCTCAAGCAGGACCTCCCTACCACCAAAGGAGGAGTTTGGGCACTTTCATAAAGTTTGCCCTGGAATGCTGGACTGAGATCCTGATTTAAGTTCAGACAGGATGGTCCTTTGAGGCATAGGCTCTTCCCCACTATACAAAGTTGGGGCATTAGGGAATGGGATTTAAGAGTGGAGGAGGGGCAGTTCTGCAGGGGACGAGGTCCAAGTCATGTAGTGATATGGTCCAGCACCCAAGGAAAAGGGCTGAGGAAGTCAATTTCAGATTATCCAGGTGAAGGTGAGCTGTGGGAGGGGAGACAAGCATTCAAGGGAAATGAAGGAAGCTAGGACAAAGCTTGGGAAAGACACTGAGCTCATCAGCAGGAGACCTGAGCAAGAAGGCCAGGCCACAGGTGGAGGGGAGGAGCTGGGAAGGCAGGAGTTTCACTCAAAAAAGCTGGGGACATGCTTGTGATGCTGGGCCCTTACCCATCTCCAGGGCTCTGTTGCTTGCGACCTCACCAGCCCCCTTGGCTATGCCTCCAGTTCATGCTCTCTGCCCTTTAGTAACTACTGGGGAGAACTACCTCTCTCCTTGAAGGAGGAGCAATTGTCTTCATTTTGGCTGAGCCTGAGCTTATTTCCATGTATTGATGTATGCAGAGCTGGCTAGGACCTTTTCCTTATCTCATCAATCGGCTTTAAGCAGTGCATATCAGTTTAGCTCAGGTACTGATGGTAGTGTTTGAAGAGGGCAGGCGTGTTTCCCTGGACAGCCCCCACCCACCCTGTTCCCACTAATGAGCCGGTATGAGGTGGGATACGTGAGCCAGTGCTCCACACTGTCAGCTGGGATGAGGCCTTGGGATACAGGCTATGAGTGATCATACATCAGCGCTGAAGCACCAACCCGAACATTAGATACTATCTCAACTGTGTTATGCAGATGACTCTTTCTGCACAGCCTCCTCTCTGCATTTGCAGAGGTGATTTCAGGCCTCCTACCTAGCCCAGCTCCTGGCGCTCACCTGCTTCCCACGGTTCTCAGTCACTATCCTCAAGCCACTCCCTTCTTCATGAATGAATAAAACCTGGTTTGTTCCAGATGGCCATCACTGCGGCTGGACTTAGGACCCCTCGGCTTCCCATAACAAATATGCCTTGGTATCTTTATTCTCGCCATGGGTTGCGCTCAAAGTGGTAGACTGGAATTAACTTGCTAGAATTCCAATAACTTTTCCTGGGATTACAAATACAAACCTCCTGGGCTGCGAGGACTGGGAAAGGCTCTAACTCCAGCCTCCTGGCTCCCTCCAACCACCCTCCCCTCCTACCACGCAGTCCCTCTGTCCCCCATGCTTGTTCCAGCTCTCTTCTACTCACCACACCGCACCACCAACCATGGAAACACTTCTGCTGTTCAAATAATTGTCTGCTCACACGTTTTACTGATATATAATCCACTCATCTTTCAAAACTTAAACTGCAGTGCTTCTAAGGCACCCTCTCTTACCCCTGTATCAGTCACCCCCAGCACAAGGGCACGGCCCTGCTCGATGGTCTCACAGCACATCACAGTTCTCCTTTGTAGCGCAGAAAATGGCTGAATAACTATTTCCTGTATATCAGTGACAAAATATATCTTGATTTTTACCTATAGGTAAGCTTGATAAGGGTAGGAATTGAGTTTGTCTAAATCAAAGGTTAGTAAACTTGTTTTGGCTCTGTGATCTTAGTTACAACTATTCAATTTGGTCACTTTAGCCTGAAAATAGCAAAATGGTTGCCAACTGTTTCTTTTTTTTTTTTTTTTTTTTGGTATCGCAAATTAAACTCAGGACTTTGTGCTTGCCAGGCAGGTACTGTGCCACTGAGCTATATCCCCAGCCCTGCAACTGCTTCAATAAAGCTTTATTTACAAGCCAGGAGGCAGAACAAACGGTAGTACTTTACTGACACTTGGTGTAAATCACCGGCATCCAAGCTAGTATGTCACACATGTTTGGTACTCATGAATGAAACTTAAAGAAAAAGCGACTGGGTTTGGTGATGGATTGTGGCTGGTACAAAGGAAAGGTGGATTTAGCGGCATGGTAGAGTAGAATGGAGATGACAGTGCTGTGGAAATAACACTGATGAAGTTTCTCTTTCAGGAGGTACACGCTTTGTGGAGCAGGGTTGGGGAATGGTGCGCTTGTAGTGGAGGAGGTGGACAGGAACATGTTTGCAGGTTATGTCAAGAAGGGAGGGTTGGGGGAAAAACTGATGAAGAAGCAGGGATCCAGAGTTCCAGCATGGAGTTGGCCATAAGGGAGGAAACCACCAAAAAACAAGAAAAGATAGTAGGGAGAGATGAGGAGAAAGTCTTGCATTCTTTTTTCCTAGGAAATGTGAGCCCACAAACTCTGGTGAACAGACAGACTAGAAGCTGCTAAGGACCACAAGCCTGTGGCATACTGAGAAATACTGACACCAGAGAAAAATGGAAGCTCAATATAGGCTTACTGGGACTCACAAAGCTATACACATTTCTCTCTCTCTTCATTTGAGACTAACCAAGGTGTCATCTAAGTATCTTGTGGGTTCTGGGTTTTCAGATCTGACTCAGCGTGGAGTTCGTCACTTACTCAATCACCAGAGCTACTTACTGCCACTTCCTATCACTTTACTTTCCCATGCAGGTAGTGACAGGTAGGGCCTTAGGAGGATGAGGTCATGCTTTAAGCATGTGAACATACCCAGTTCGTTCTGTCTCCTTTTTCTCTCTCCCTTTTTTTTTTTTGAGACAGGATCTCACTATGTAGCCCATGCTGGCCTTAAACTTTCAAAAATCCTCCTGCTTCAGCCTCTTGAATGCTGGGATTACAGGCATGGGCCACCATGCCCGGCTCCAGTTCTTTCTTAAAGAATACTGAAAGACATTTTACCTGCAGAAATAATTATAGATTTCATTCTTGTAACCTCAGATGTGAGGGAAACTCACAGAGTTTGACAAAGTAGATATTAAAACAACCAAGCACATAAACTAACAACAGGAGATTATAATTTCTCAGTGGATGATCCTCTGGGAGTTTCCCTCTCATAGGTTGTAAAATATTTCTTTATGAGGCGGAGAATGATCTGTGTAGAGCACAAAGCCATATTTTATTTTAATGATGCATAACACAGAACTATTCTTTTAATAGTGAAAAACACTTGATTGGTGGGGGTGTGACAATATGAACAGAGCAAAGCAGTCACTTAATTCTATAGGACAAACAGTATTAAAACCTACAAAACACAACTTCTCACACAGAAAAATATTAGTACTTTTTTGTAGAGTTAAAAAAAACCATAGGCAGTCAACGTCAATAATCCAAAACACCACGATGTGAAAAAAACCTAACATCTCAACACTGATTCAATATTACTCCCATTGCAGGAATGTTATCAGAAGGGTTTGGACCCCATTCTACTTGTTTTCAAGAAGTATTAAAACCATCTAAATATCTTTTACTTATATCTGAAAGAATACCAGGACCTATTTTCATCTGCTTTCCAAGGTGTAATTGCTGTTGATACTTGCAGGCTGAAACTTCCATGTCTATTCTAATCCTAAGTAAGATTCTAATTCATATATTCATTTTGAGCTTATCACTTCCCACAAGAAAGGACTTTCAATGTAAGTTGAGTGTAGATTAAATAAATTAATTTCTTACCCTATTGTTGGGTTGATATTTGGATCAAAACTGTCTTCCACAAACCGCCACACAATACTCGATTTACCTACACCTGTATCCTGAAAGAGAACGAGATGTGCGACAGAGAAAAAGTTAACCTTGCGCAGACATCAAAAAGGACATTGTGGCTTGAGTTCAGGTTTTCAGAAAAATCACAGATGTGTCAGTTTTACAAGCTGAGGGACACAAAAGTGGTTTTCACAAAAACCCAGCAGAGGAATTAGAAGATTTCAAAACAGTTAATAACAGGTGAAAAGGCTTTGCGCTTTTCAAGAGGCTAGGACCTCTTTGAAACACCCAAAGTTTCTGCCTCATGTGAAAAGTGACAAATGCACTTGCTTTCTTAACACATATGTTAGCAAGCTCTGAATTCCAGGATTAGTTCTGAGTAATCCCTGATGAACCCTGGCCCCACCCTATCTGAGAGGCACAAAGGACCAGTTACTGGAATTCTTTTTAATCTTTAAAGCAGAAACTCAGGAAGGAAAGCATCGACCTCACAAAGCTCTGCAATGGCCAAACTGTCCAGACAAGACGGGAAGCCGAAGCGTCCAACCCATCTTTGGGGCGTCTTGCTTTGAACACCCCTCCTTTGCAATATAACTCTGCTAGAAGTGGCAGGAGTGCCCCTCAAGTTCGAAATCACCACACAGGCGCGAAAAGAGGTCAACACTGCCTGTAAAAGTTAAAGACCTGTTACTGGTTTGACTTTGAGAAACTTGGCCAACTCCCAACTAGCACCTGGGCGAGTTGGGAGCAAACTACTCCGGAGCGCCTGTCAAGCGGGGCGTGATGGGGCGGGGAGCGCCGCTCGTCCCGGGGCGGGAGAGCCCCAGGCTCGCGGGGCAGGGGCAGGGGCAGCGTCCCGCCCGGCCCGGAGCCCTCCGCTG